CGCTGCGCCGTGATTGGCCGGCGGCCGCACACTACGGAGCCGGTGGGCGGAGCCTCGGGCCGCCCCGTCGTGATTGCACAGCAGCGGACTGTAGTGTGCGGCTGCCGGACACCTTACACCGGCGCCCGCAACTTCCCCACAAGGTCACCGCTGCCGCCCCTCTGCGCTCTGCCGCCTTGAGGCCGGGCCTCGGTGGCCTTGTGGGAAATCCGGGCCTGATTATATCTATAGTGGTTAATATATCTGCTTAGTACATTCTGGAAAACCAGTTGACTTTTGGATTGTGTACTTAATTGTTAGAAGACATTTTTGGTTTGATGGAAATTGCTCTCCTGGGTTATGGAAGACAGGGGATGTTCTAAGGTTTTCTTATTTTGTTTCCCCCCCCCAGGGACTGATTACAGCTGAAGACTTTGCACTTGAAAAATGCTTCCTTCCAACAGAGAGCACGGTTATCTACATCTACACTGTAGCAAGCATTCTGCTGTTTCTCTACCTAGTGTTCCAGTTGCCACTAATGAAAGCTTTGAAATTCTTCTTCATGCCCAAGGAAAAGCCAGTGTAAAGAAGGCATGTTTCATATACAAGCCACACCTTATGGAAACCACTAGTTTGCTTTGTTCTCTAGAATAGACCAGTACATTTTACCAAATATATATTTATTAAATGATGTACCTGTACAATATGTGACTGTCACCTGTACATTAAAGAAAGAAAATTCCTTCATTGATTTGATAGCCATATCCCCTGCAGGACCATACAGCTGTGCCCTGTGTGGTTCAGGTCAGCCTGTGGACACTTTACCCTTCTGTGGTTTTTGAAATTTCACTTCTCAGGCCAACCTAATGCTCGATGTGATACTTTTTTAAATAAATATGATTGTCTATGATATTTATTATGTTTGCCTTTTTTATGGTTGATAAAACTTGAGCCTTAATGAGACAGGCAAGTGTTCTTACCACAAGTTTTTCAAAATGAATGGCATAAAGGGAGGTGAGGGGCGGAATAGCTGGTATGAGCTTGACAGACCCAAAAAAACTAAAAGTGCTCACCATTATAAAGTGTACAGGTCTCCCTACAGACAAGCAGTCCTCATTCTTTAGGGGGCATGGCCAGAGGAACAATGAATAATTACTGGGTTTAGCATTGTAGGATGCAGGACACATCCCTGCTCATACCCATGCAGTCCACCCTCTCTTTACTTTGGTACTCATTCCTCTGTGGCCTAATATGAGCCACACAGTGATGATTTCAATATGGGGCTCCAACACAAACATGATCAAAGTCTCTCCAAGAGTCTTGTACAATTGTAAATTAGACATGAAGACAACCGTAAGCAATTTAACTGTGTCCAATGTCTTGAAGGTATCGCGTGGCACCTCCACTGCGCAAGTGGATAGGAAGGCAGCAATTGGAGGACTGACATTATTTAACAAATCTTAAGTGATGTTGTCTAGAAAGGCTTGTCTTTACCGCTGTTAACAGTAATTGTAGACAATGTACAGGTTATCTTGGACACAGGTCATCTAGACTCACATACATAAAACACCTAAGTATAAAATATAAAGCAGTGTAATAGTTACTAAAAAGGACATGCCTTATTGCTACAGCAGTTCTTGCTTTGTATATTTATATTATATATATATTTATATATAGTATTGTACCACAACTTCTTTAGAGAACATTTACATAAATTATTCAAGTTTGAGAAATAGTCACACATATCAATTCTATAATATTTAAAATAAATCAACTTTCTAATGTGTCTCTTTATTAAAAGAGAAATTAAAATGTCATCTTGTAATTTATCAGGTTAGACAAAGATTTCCACCTTTTTTTTGTTTGACCCTCCTCGTCGTGCTATATAGGCTTACACAACATCCGCTGCTGCCATAAATGGAGCAAGCCTAAACTGATGCTGCCACAGGTAACATTGACAGCATCTCTGTGGCAATACTGGGAATGTTGGATCCATGCAAATATGATCAAAAGGTTTCCTAAAAGAAATGTTAAAAAAATGTTTCCTTGGTTCCCACTAAAACACCACTAGGCTGTAAATATGAACAAAGAAATGGATTCCAATAGATTTTTTTTGTTTGTTTTAAAGCTGAGTCTTCTTCACCTCCTCCCCGTGCCTGCACATAAAAACAGAAGGAAAACAAAAAAAAAAAGGCATGTTTGCTGCAACAACTGGTCATTGTAGGACCTTACTTGTAAAGGTAAGTGGTTAATTTGCATAATTTATACTTTTTTTTTTTGTTGTTTTCTTTTTTTGTACTAAAGAGCATTTCCTTCTTTTTATATAAACCAGAAAAAAACTAAATTCTACAGATAGTTCCTACCCGCAGTCACAGCTGCAGGCAAGTTTGACATCAAGCTGTACAGCGCAATCAAAAACATACTTACATCTTAGCTCATTTTACAGGTACAGCCATAATCAAGGCACAAAGATCTTCTACAAGTATTATTTTTTTTCAATAAAGTTGTACAAAATAATATTACATTTTACATCTGTACATTATAATAAACCAGCAGTTAAACAAAATAAAAAAAAAAACAAACAAAAAAAATTTCTATAAAGGACTAAAGCCCAGTAATGATCTAAGGCTAAAAAGATCATCTGTGGACAGAGCATATAATATCGGTGCAGGTGGTCATTTTTTTTTTATTTTCTGCCTTGACGTGAGAGGCTGAAAGCAGCTGCAGTTTGAATGCCTGAGGTGTGCAGAAACACTTAGCCACAATATACCATAAAAATGTAAAAAACAAAAAAAATGCTTGACTTTGCCTCTTCATCAACCTACTCTATGTACGGATTCTGGAACGTGCTTTAAACTCAGCATCGCTGGAGGCCTGCAAGCCGCTGCTCTGCAATGGCCCACAAGCTCCCTTCCTCCACCGGACGGTGTTCTAGAGCCGAGGTCACTCAGTTGACCTGCAACTCACCACTGCAAAGATCTGTGACATTAATAAATATCTCTGGTGCTGCTACATAGTGTGTAAATTCATCTACTCTTTTTTTTTTCATTTTTTTTTTTGTAACCAGATACAAAGTGCATTATTCCTTATTTCCTCCATCAAGTACTCTTCAGTGTCACGGTAAAGAAAAATAAAATCCACACAGGAATAAGTCTGAGCATAGTGCCATCTAAAAGATGGGTACACACTCCAAAGGCTTGAGCCCATAAGAGGTAAAAAAAAAAAAAAAAAGCTAAAGAACAGAGGTAGCCAAAGGCTTAGTGGAATGGTAACCTTTCTTGTTCAGAGAGCCACTTAAAGCAAAGCTACTGCTCAAACAAATGCTTGTCCCTCCTCACTGGAAGAGGTTTTTCTACAGCACACTACCCCCAATCAGTGCTTGTCACCCTGACTTCTAATAGGGTGGTGTCCATTGGCCTATCGTTCCCTAATATACATATATTTATAAACATTAAAAGGTGCAGTCTGTTATATTAACTATGAATTTTGATATTGCCTGTCAATACACCTCTTCTAGATCACGCTCGCAGTATCATTGTTGAGTATTCAAATTTTCCACATGAATTGCAATATAGATCCCCGTCTCATCTCATCTACTGCTTGTCTGGACCACACCATCAGAATTATCCTGCCTTGATGCCAAGCCAGGGTAAACCTGAGCTTCATTGTTATAACAAGAGAAGTGTGGTGCACATACAGTTTTGTGTTTCCACACACACGGGGTTCCAGGGACCTATTTTTTTCTTACCCTCATCTAAAAATAGATGTTTTCATCTCTGCCTACACACAGTCCTGTAAATGTAGACTTGATATTCAGGGATAGCACTTTCAAATGAACACGAACCTTTGTTATATAAAACAGACTATCCTGACTTTCCTATTGGCCACAAATGCAGCACATACTAAAAGATGCACTCATTGGCTCAATCTGTAAAGCAATATAAAGCGATGATGATGTGCAAAATGCAATTACCCCCATAAGATTTCAGTTTACTACAATCAGATCAGCGAGATGAATTCTGATTAGTTGCTATGGCTTGCTGTACTTTGCACAAACCTATTTGCTTACTGAATCATCCTGTTGTGCTTACAGTAAGTCTGCAGTATGTACTTGTCATCAAATATGCCCTACTTCAAATTAATTGGTCAACTGACAAACATTGTAGAGTAAGTTAAAGCACCTACCCACTGCATGCTCAGCCTAGCAGTAAGGGGTGTACAGGGGTTTTACCTACAGAAAAGCTGCAGAAGTGACAGTCTGGGGCATTACTACCTTAAAGAACTTAGGAATGGCTTATGGCCCTGTCTTCTGCACAGGTGGCTGCGTAGGTGAGAAGTGCTAAATTCACTAAAGGTGCAGGCGTAGCCAAAATCTATGCCCAGAAAGAGACAATAGGGTCCTTAGTAAGGGGAGTGAGCAGCACTTGTACAGAGGAATGGTTAAAAAATAAGTGTCCTGTGAAAAAATAAATAGTACAAGGATGCAAGCTGCCCTCTTTCATAAAAGGAAAATGAGACATTGGTAACAAAAAGAAAATTCTTGCTTAAAAAAAAATTAAAAGCAAAGAAGCCTAGAAAAAAAGTGCGCTGTAGGGATGTTCCACCCTGTGTGGAGCAGTACAGAGGAAAAGGACAGAAAGTGGCAAAGGATTTAAAACCACAGGCTCCACAGTGAGAATGATTACAAGAGTTCATATTGGCGGAGGTGCATTCTCTGGATGATATCTCGACAGTCATTGAAAACTCTGCGAATGTTCTCAGTGTCTACGGCACAGGTAAAATGAGGATAGCAGTAATGTCTTCCATCTCCACTTGCCGTACTTATCCGCTGCACAAACAAAAGAAAACATCATGTTTTAAAAGCTGTCAGAATACTCTCGAATACATTCATTGAACATTATACAATTCATTTAGTAAAAGATTTTGCTCCAGATGAGACAAATGTCAATGCGGTTCTAGGGTGTGATAACAGGACACTGAGAGCAAGATAAGAGACCCCCCCAGCATTCATTGGGGGGCACAGCATATAACCTCCAGGTATACAATGTGCCTCTTTAAGGGGGGGACACTAAGTAAATCAAAGGCACAACTCCTCATGGCTACACATGGAGTAAACACAGTTTGAGGTAGGACATCTCTCTCTCTATGCTGGGTTAAGATGTTGAATCTGAAGAATTCTACACAAATGTTTAAGCAACTTGGACATTCCACAGCAATGCTACAACAGGCCGGGCAAGTGTAGTGATCTCACAAGGCTCCCAATGTGCCCACTGTATCTGCCCAAGGATCTTTATCCCTTGCTACTAACCTGTCCAGCTTTGGATTGAGACGTGACACCAGAAGATTGGCATCTGGTGTTCTTCTTCACTGGCAGATTTGTTGATTTGGCCCACTCTTGCTGACTGAGATAGGCCACCTGCCAATTTTCTACCCCTGGTATGTACAATGTGGACAGAGCCAGTACATGACTTTCTGGCCAATTCAGGATGGAGGACACTACCAGTGCTGCCACTCTGCTCTTTGTTCCCCTTGATGGTTTACATATGCCACAGCATTGTATGATTGCATCTGTACAGGGTGTCCCTTCAGACAAACTGCGTCCAGAGAAGAAATGTCCATCGGATCACTGTAAGTTTCAGCACATTGATGGGAAGCAAGGTTTCAAGAACCACAAGTGGACTGATGACCAGGTGGTCCTACTCAGCTGTGCAGGCATCCATCATCTCAATTTTTCAGTGCAGAGGTAGAAACAACTTCCCGGCTAGCAGCAGGGGAGAGCGCTGCCACAAAACTAAGAATGCACATGGGCAAGTCGGTCAAATGTGCCCCCCTAGGGTAAAAAAACCCCACAGGATGCCCACACAAGATTGGGCCATGATAGCCAAACCCGCACTCAGCAAGGAATTGCATGTGCCCAAAAGCTGCACCTTGGGAGACTACTAGTATCTATATTATCCTTAATTTTCTTCCAGCCAGCGACTTGCTTGAAGCAATAAACAAATAAACTTGAACAGGAGAAAAATTCTATGTCCTAACTCCTAGACACTAGGCCCACAACTGTAGAAGGGAATTTAACCACCAAGAAGGACACCTCTTGTGCGCCTAGTATCCTACTACTGGCAGTAGTAATATAACCAGTAGGTGATTATTTATAGAAGAGCAGTTTCCCCCAGTGAACAAACGAGAAATACAAGTTTCCTGGCTATCATGCTGAACCTTATAATTTCCGAGCCACTAATCCAGAAAGAAACTTACACATCAGGAGTACGGACATGCTACATACTGTTCTGTGACAGGGGCTCAGAAATCCAGTGGCGATTTCTTTTCATCACAGCAGCGGTGGGGAAAGGTAAGACCTGTGAGTACCTGTGATGCATGTAAGGCATACATCGGCAGCAGCACAAACATGTAAACAGAGTTTGTTCTCACAGGAAGCTGTCTGCTTTATTGTGGAGGTGATTCAGGTGGCTGTAAATCAGGATGGTCAGCAAACATTCATTCACTGATCACTACTGTGAAGAATGACACAGGAAGCGATCAGCTCTGAACACTTCTGGGTTCAGTGATATCATTTCCTGACCTCCGCAGCCAGGGAAGAAGCTAACTGAGCATGATCTGTCCCTGTTTAGCTTTAGGGCGACAATGGAGGTCTGATAGACCCCTGATGTTCCCTTGAAAATAACCTGTCATTTGCACTATACTATCACATAGGGGACTTATCACTTTGATATAACAATACAGTTAAGTTAAAAAAGTTTTAAAAATTGAAGTTTAATTTAAAAAAAAAAAAAAGCACCAAAACATATTCAGCTACAGCCTGAGTAGAAAAGTCTGTCCCCTACAGGCTTGGCACAGAGAATGAGCCTTGCTCTATGTGTGGATGCAGTGGTCTCTCTGCAGAGCTCCACCATTGTTCCCTTCTGAGTCAGTGCTAGAGCTCTCCAATGGGCATGAGCTTTGCTAATTGAATCATGTCAGACCCCTGCAGAGAAATCACTGCTCCCACATGAGAACATGGGCCCTTCTCTGCAACACGTTAGTAGAGGACTGGCTTTTCTACTTGGGTTGTACCTGCTTTCTAAAACAAAAGACTATAAGACTTTGCACACCTTTTCTTTTGATGGACCTGAAATGCTTTTAGCGGATTTAAACTAAAAGTTCAGCTGGGATCTGACAAACATGTTATTAGAAAAGTCTGGCTTGTTGACTGCCGACAACAAAATTAGCTAGGGCGATGTTCAATTTATCAGCTTTACTTACTAAAAATTCGTCTCGGATAAAGAACTTAGCCCTCGTCACTTTGGGATCCTCTCCTGCATCTGGCGTCGCTATAAGAAAAGAATGTGAAGCATGAGATACAATGTTAGCAGAGAAATCTTCATTACATTTCTGTTACAATGCCTGCATTTGCTAACTGGCTATTTACACAGAGGATTAAGCCATTAAAGGGCTATAAGGTAGTTATATTGTAAAAACTGGTAGCCTCTGGACCTTTTACTGCCATATATTGCATTATGCTGAAGTCGTGAACATAAAGCAAGAAAGAAAACATAGCAGGAAGAATGCAAGCATCATAAGATGCATACATTGCTTTTCTTGCTCCTCTCCTGAGCTCTTTAGTAGAGCCTGAACCCAGAGAGGCAATACCAGTATACAAATGACGTCAGCTCCACTCTGGTCGCTCACCCACTATTCAATGTGCAACCTTTAATAAACTACAGAGATTTGTTCAGGAGCACAAGGAGCTTAGCACAGCAACAAGTAAGAGCACTGTAACAGCAAGGCATAGAAATAAAGCACTGCTCCAAGGCTCTGGCAGGAGAAAGACAGCCAGGTGCTCAATGGCAGGAGCGCGTCCTGACTAACCAAACCGGCACAGCGCAAGGGAAGAATCCGGCCACCCTCAGAAGGGGCGGCCCTCGGGCAGAACTTTCAATAAACATCTTCCAGTTGCTGTTTTGTCCTATAATGTTACCCTCATAACCTAATGTTCAGGGCATGTTTACTTTAAAGCTCTCGCTATAGGAGCTGGGACAGCACAGGACTTGTATATTCACTCTCAACCGAAACACACAGCCCTCAATATGAACTCTGTAGGCTAAGGAACTGTGTACACAGTCCTTTGTTTGCCATATTCCCCATGTAAGTGCCATTGATCTCCATGTACACAAACCCTTTATGTGCTTACCATCATCAGGTACAGTGTAGCGCACATATTCCGGGAAGTAATCTTCTATTTTTGATTTTCCTGCCAAGACTTTCTCAGCCAACATGTCTTGTTTGTTCAAGAACAAAATGACAGAAATAGTTCGTAACCACCTGCAAACAAGAAAGATGTATTTTTATAGTTCTTTAATACCGAAGACAGTGCTGACTGGGAGGCAGTTACATACCCCTGTACTATCCATAGACGGGCCCTAAATGGTTTATGATTTTGTGTAGTGTAAGACAGCCAACATCCCTGGTGCCCAACCTGTGGTCCAAGGTAGTTACTGTGTGGCCCTTGGGCCCCCACAAGCAATAGTCAGTGTTTTCCCTGCCTAGGTGTTTACTAAGGACCAGAGAAAGAAAACATTCATTAGACTGGTTCTGCTAGATAAATCATTTCTCTCACAGTTGCCCTTTATCCGAGCTATCCTATCTCCTTTTATGTATGTTTTCTCTGAATCTGTATAATGGATTGTGTTGAGAGAAATATAAAAAGTAGCACTAGTCATTCTTAAGGGTGAAAGCATGGATTTGTATAGGGCCTGCAATGACCATGATCTCTAGCACTCTCTTGTAACATGTCTCCATCCTCTGGCTGTCCACTACAGCACTGTCCCGATCCTCTGGCTGTATCCGGCAGTATGTCCCCAGTCTCCAACCATATCTGCATCATGTCTGCTGCATCTGATCATCTCCTGTAGTATGCCCTCAGTCTCGGACTATCTATTATAGTATGTCCACTGCCTCTGACAGTCTGTAGCATTACATACACTGAATATTATTTGCGTCCCTTTGCTGATGTCAGCGAGTTGACCGCCACTGGTTTAGACTAAGGTGCGTCAGATATGTGGTCACTGTGGCAATCTATCACTTCACATAAAAAATTAAAGCTAGATTTGATACAGTGCGGCAAACCCCTTGTCACTCTCTTAAATTACTGCTTAAACAATAAACGCTTTCTTCAATAACCCCTATTTTGTTACAACATAGACTTATACAGCCCACCTATCAAGTTTTTTAAAGTGGTTTATTATTCAAATAGAAATCTAGAAAGTCAGTTAAACGAACACATTCCAAAAATACTGGCCCAGTAACAGAGTAAGCACGCTCCTTCTACAATGTAAAGTTAGACATATACACTGAGTGGCCAGATTATTATGACCACCCCATCAGTACTTCGTTGGGCCACGAGATAACTCCACGAGATGACTTAGTTGGGCCGCCTTGTGACTCCACGAGATGTTGAAAGGTGATGCGAGGAATCTGACACTGCACTGTTGCCCTTCTGTTGTCTTGTACCAGTCTTGCCACTCTCCGTTCTGCCCTAACATTGACTAGTCGCTGACGGCCACAATTCGCACGTTCAGACCCAGATTTTCGGCTGACAGTCCAGTCTTTAAACACAACAACAGCTGCTCTTGAACATTTAACAAATTCTGCTGTTTTGCTGATACTCGCTCCATGGCTCCGAGCGCCAACAATCATCCCACGTTCAAAGGCTGTTAAATCGCGTTGTTTACCCATATCTTCAGAAAAAAATCACTTCTACTGTCGTGGTAAACAACCTGCTTCCCTATTTATAATGGTCTGGCCCTCTAGCAACTTCAGCGCGAAATTATAGCTAATTATAGCTAATTTGCCTACAAACGTCAGGTGGTCATAATAATCTGGCCACTCAGTGTATTTGCTTGGTAAAGCAGACCTTGGACTGACTGCAATTACTGAAATGCTGACTTAAAATGAAAAACTAGATACTGTACATTACTATAATATATTACTCCGGCTCCCATGGTGCAGGAAGGAGGATGATATCACCCTTCCCCAGGTGCTATGGGCAGAAGCCAGGGGAAAGGTAAGGTGTTTTTACACATTTAAAAACAGTGTTTTAGCAAGGGGAAGGAGGCAATTTAATAGCGGACCTTGCATTTTGTGTCTGATTTAGGGCTTTTTCACACCATATACAGAGTGGTTAGTTGCTGGAACGCATTGTATCGCATCCCAGGGCGGAAGGGAGCATGGCAGTGCATTTAAGTCAATGGCACCGCCCGCATTGCGATCGCCCACACCAGAACAAGTATCTTGTTGCCACAGTGACAATAAAGTGCTGACAATGAATCGTCCTGGCGCTGCAGTACTAAACATTTGAACAAATACAGAACATGTCTATACAATTGTAATGCTTATTATTTGAGTGCTAGATTTACTAATATGGGAGTAATAAATGATACATAGATATGGTATACATTGTATAAATCGAGAATAAGGGACAAAACAATATCCAAGTGTTTGAGTGAGCAATGTTGGCTCAATTATCAGGAGTCAGATGCAGCCTGGAAAAGCCGACCTTCACAATTCTTCATAGAAAGCAGGAAGATTTGTGGGAGACGCCATAGAGAGGTTTGCGGCTTAAACTGCAGTAAAGGTGCACCAGGCAGCCATAACTGTGCAACAAAAGAACACAGCAAAAGGCATGTGAATGCATGTCTGGAGTTTGCCAAAAGGCAAGATAGTGACCCAACTGTGATATGGTAAAAGGATCTGTGATAAACGATAGTAATGCCTTTATCCAATGTTCAAGATTATATGTATACAAATGCACAAATCTAACACTGCTTACACCCCAAAAAACACCTACACTGAAGTGTGATGGTGGCAAAAAATAATTGATGCTATATTTATTACCCAGCTAACCAGGATCAACTGTAGAAAATCTGCTGGATGAATAGGCTCAAATCACTCAGTGTGCAAAGCTGGCACAGACCTCCCCCACTTATATTACACCAGTTTCAGGATTTTAAAATAAAATGAATACACAGTGGAAATTCAGTGTGCAGGGTTGGTTGGATTGGCCCAGGGTCTGAATACATCTGCAAGGTAACATACAATACTTTCCCTGGTGATCAGCAAATTATTCGGAGAATTGTTTTCCCTCATTAAAGTCCCCAGGATTCGCTTATCTGCTGTCTATTGCCACCAAGTGGTCAAACTGCAAATTGCATCTTTTTCTGTTACATTTTACTATAATTACTGTACACAGAATACAGACCCAGGCCTTCGATTCCAAAATATTAAAATGGCGTATTGGAGAGGGGGGTTCTAGTTCTCCTATAGACTAAGCCGATCTCTTGGGTCGCAGCAGGCGCACCATCTACATGTAGCTAGTACACTTTGCCCATATTAGAATACTTTTTCGGATATTCCAATTACCTTCAACAATGCAGACATATTTACAGACGAATTGGCATCCAACCAGACGGGCCCTAGTGAATGTACATGGACATTAGGTTTTAAGCTCCTCATGGGCAGAGCCTGTACCAATGATTTAGCATAGTCCTGAGAGCTCTGCATAATAATATGTTGGTGCTTTGTAGTTTTGGGAAATAAAAAAGCTAGCTTAACTTAGCACTGTGGATTTTGTTTAATGCAGTTTAACTGCTGTGACCTGATAATGTCCTATTCAGTTAAGCATTCCAGGCCACTGCTTAAATTCCCTAGCAAAATGCATTATAAAGATTATGTGTGTGTTGGGCCCAGGGAGGCGCCTCGGGTAACCTGGAGGATAATAGAGGAATAGACTTTTAGATATACCTGTTGTTCCAGATACTTTTGAACAGGTCCAGTGCTTCTCGTAGTCTGTTTGTGTTATTGTCTTCCCTTATGACCATATTGTAACTGCTACTGGCAACTACAAAAATGATAGCTGTGACATCTAGAAAAGAGGGCAGAAGAGACATATGTGTCATTTATCAGCTTCATAGTTTAAATAAAGCAAACCAAGTCTCTACACCTATAGGTGTGCACATGTTAGTTCTGAACGCCACAGATGTCTTGTTCAAGTACTAAGGTGTCTTTAGTCCTTGTTTTGGGGCATCGAGTATCACAGTTAAAAAGCAAGTTCCATTAAATCTGAACATGTTGACATTGAATCATCTTTTCTACAATATTGTCCAACCGCAAGAACTGGCATAAAAGCGTTTAGATGTACAGTAAACTCTCCATTATCCGGCATTCAAGCAAACAGCAAACCCCCCCGCCCAAAAACCCTTGTTTTTTTTCCTGGTGGCTTATTGCACATAAAACATTTTTTGGTTCCTTGATTATTTAGTTGCTAACAAAATTCTTTGTTCACATCTTGCTGCTGGCCGGTGGCCAGATTCTGGGGTCAGCAGCAGAATGGGGAGATATAGCCAGCTTGCTATTGGCTATTTCAAATTGCAATAGCCAATAGCAGGCTGGCTATTGCACCCGCCCACTGAGCAGAGGAGTTGACTTGAGAGAGAACTTTGTCTCTCAGGTACGCTCCTTTGCTCAGTGAACAGGGCTTCAATAGCCAGCCCGCTATTGGCCATTGCAATTTGAAATAGCCAATAGCAAGCTGGCTATTGCTTCCGGCCGCTTACATTCACCTGTCAGCTGCAGAAGCTAGCCGGCAGGTGAATGGGGCTGCAGGGGGAAACAGAGGCACGGTGGGAAATGATTGATTGAAAGTTACTATTAACTCTCAAGCAACCAGAAACTACAATTACCTGGCACCTACCAATCCGCGTGGGTGCCGGATAACTGAGAGTTTGCTGTACATACATGTACACATACAGACATGGACAAATTTGTACCCTTCCATGAGAAAAAGAGGAACCCACAAATTTCTCTGAAATAACTTGAAACTGACCAAATAATTGTCATCCATCATTGTTTATTTCATATTTATTAAAAATCCAACTTGGCTTTTAATTTGGTGGTTTAAAAATTATTTGAAATAATAAAACAGAAAAAGTGAAATGGCCAAAAATGAAGAGACTCTTAACTGGAGCTCTCAATGAGACTTCTGCACCTGTCAACAGCTAGTTTGGCCCACTAGTCTTGAACAAACTGCTCCATAGATGTTTGATAGAATTCAGATCAGCGCTCATAGAAGGCTACTTCAGAATAGTGTGAATCCAATGTTTTGTTTTGAGCTGTGTGTCTTGGGCCATTGTCCTGTAGGAGGACCCAGTGCCTGCGAGTAAGATAGATCTTTCTTGACACTATACAGTAAATACAACTATTAAGGCATTCTGGAGTGATAAGATTTAATTGTGCCCTTCACAGGTACAAGGCATCCTTGTGTCCGGGCACAACAAAGCTGCCCCAAAACACGACTAAGCCTCCTCCATGTTTCACAGTAGGTAGAGTGTTCTGTCCTCGGAAAACTTCATTTTTTTGTTTGTGAACAGAGCTGACGTGACTTGCCAAAAACCTTCCGTTTTGTCCCAGCTGTCCAAAGGACATTCTCCCAGAAGCATTTTAGCAAAATCCAGTCTGGCATTTTAATGATTTTCTTTAAACAGTGGAGTCCTCCTTTGAGCTCACTGTTACTCAAAAAGTGATGGTTGGTGCAATCACAGACACTGAAGGACCTTGAAGTTCACCCTGTATTCCTTTGGAAATTTTCCTTGCCTTTTTGTCTACCATTCACACTCTTCTTCTGCTTAATCTGGGGTCGATTTTCCTGTTGTGGCCATGTTCTGGGAGGTTGGCTGCTCTACCATGGACCTTAAACTTCTAAATAATAATTGCAACTGTAGTCACAGGAACATCAAGCTGCTTGGGGATGGTCTTATAACCTTTACATTTGACATGCTGGTCTATCATTTTCTTTATTTCCTTTATTCCTCAGGCAACTCTCTCCTTTGCTTTCTCTGGTCCATGTTCAGTGTGGTGCACACAATGATACCAAACACCAGACTGACCACTTTTCACCATTTAAATAGGCTGACTGACTAAAGATTGAAGACATGTGATACTAATGACAGAAAACCGTTACTTTGAAATATCACTATGATTCCGACGGTGATTTTTTTACGGATCCCCGCTGCCACAGACCCTACAAGCAGTGGGGATCCATGGAGTCTCTCATCTCTATCTGGGATGGCTCCAAGGAGGGAAGAGAGATGACAGCGGCAGCGGTGCCGGCAGGGGGACCCCGGTATTTTTTTAAATAGCGGTCATCAGCGGCTTGTGAGCCGCTGATGACAGCTATAAATTTAAAGGGGACAGTCTGCTGAACAGTTCTACTATAAGCTGACTATAAGACCATCAGCTTATAGTAGAACTGTAAATGCCAGGTCCGTACGGCGTACTGAGCTGGCCAGCTGGAAGCACTTTTGTAGCTCCGTACGACGTACGTCCTTGGCAGCGAAATGGTTAATATTTTGCTAGGGGTACCAACAGATCTGTCCAGGCCATTTTCCAAATATCTTTGTAGAAAAAGCAAAAATGCATCTCTTTTCACACTTTCCTCTCCTCTAGGACATGCCAAAGGCATGCAGGTATACAGGAGACAATTGCTTTCCATATCACCACTTTTCAGGAGGAATGAAGCATTTCTTTCAATGAGCTATAAGGACAACATTAAATGTTTCCACATCTGTAGTTGCAGGAAAAGGTGGCAAGCACTTATATATACACTGCAACAAAACGGTTCCATGCTTTTCATCTTAGTCATTAGAAAAACAATTACTTTGATTGAATTAATGACTAGCACAACATTTTACATATGTCAGTAAATGAGTCAGGTATTTCAGGTGTGTGTGACATCTGAACCGCTATACACAGCTCAAGCAAAGTAAAATAAAATAAACCCACACATTTGTTTATTGGCTCTGTGGAGGTGCAGTTAACCAAATCAAACACAGACATGAGGGGACCCTATAAGACCTGTTAAACATCTTTTATAAATCTTTACAGTTTTCAACCAAACCTGTCAAATCCTGAACAAAGAAAACGGAGTATATAAAAAAGCCAAAAATCAGAGGTTACCTTCACTCAAAACCACAAGAAACACTATACCAAAATGTCATCCCATTTCTGAAGCCTAGTGGTTTATTTCCATGCTGTCTCAGGGTCTGGATTGCCTGAAGTTACTACAGAGGCCAATGTATTTCAAGCCATGTGAGGGAATTCAACAGCAGAATTTCTCAGCAACTGTAATCTACAGTTCAAAATGTTCACCAAAACAACTGCAGAATGACCCACAAAAGTCATTCCCTATTTCACCATAGTAAAGTTAGGGAGCCTCTATCCTATGGAAATGCTGTGGTGACCTGAAACAAGGCCTCCCTATGCCAGACAACCAAAATTAGTCATAACTAAAACAGTTTTGTCTACAGGAAGGTGCAAAAAGCATCCAAATGTCTAAAAAGCAACTACAGAATGGGATGGGCGTGGGTGGGATAATTGCAAACATAAAATGCTCCATCAGTTAATAAACGTAAGGGTTCACATCCTTCTTTGAAAAGGCGAAACGCATTGAGAACCAATATAGGACTGTTTCAACTTGCCTCTTTGAACAAACAGTTTTGGCTGATGTACTCTTAATTGTCTGCTATATGTATAAGGTAAATTAATGGACTTGTATGGAGGCTATTGCTCCAATCTTGTTTTTAATCGTGCTTTTCTTTAAATTGTAATGTACATTTTTAAGTTTGTAGGAAATAAAATTGAATTTTACGTTATGTGAAAGGTTGTGTCCAAACCTGTCTAAAGCCCCATTCTGGTTATCTTTGAATAACTAGGGGTGTAGGTAATGGACTAATCTATATATTTACACCAGGGAATGGCAATTGTGAGATCACACAAAAACGTGTCCAGCATTTTGCACTGCCATATCTTTCTGATTATGACTTGGATGAAGATCGGATCACATTTCAAGACCATATACAGCCTATGCACTGCAATTTAATGTAGAATCATTGCAAAAAACTTTACTGGGAATTCAAAGACCAAACTGGTAAACTTTAGCCACGTACACAATGGGACGTGACATTGTAAAGAATCGATTGGACTCCCAGGTCCACTCAATACCTCAATGACTTTTATTGTGGTGATTACTAGATGACTGCGTAGTGCTGTGATCATCCATACATGTACAACTATGGCACTGTGTGACTTTTATGGATGAAGAATCGCATGTGTAATGTGTTCTTTATTCTCTATGAAATCACCTACAATCTTACCATTAAAACATTGGATCCACTTTCTTCTCTCATCTCTTTGTCCTCCTACATCAAACATACTGTAAAAAAGAAAAGACACAGAACATTGTCAGAAGGAAAAGGAAACTGTTCTAGGATACACATACCCTGTTTCCCCGAAAATAAGACCTACCCCGAAATTAAGACCTAGTACCATTTTTGGGAATTGCTAAAATATAAGACCTACCCTGAAAATAAGACCTAGTTGTGACCATTCCCAGGGCCGGTGGTGGCATAAGGGGGAACTTGAAGAGCCGCGGGAGAGAATCAGCGGTGCCAACGAAGCGGAGGGAGCAGAGCCGCATAAGCCGATGCTTCCTCTATAGCGCCGGCTCGCGTCACAGGCGGAGTGATGCCAAATGCACGCCACCTGTGAGGAATCCATAGTGAACGTGCGCTTCCCTCATTCTGGTTACCAAATTGCTCTTGGAAAGGTATGGCACCCCTGATCACCCTATTCTTAACTTTGCCATTTTGGATTATTTAACTTGGATTTGTATTAACTTTGGATTGTTATACATAAAAAAAGTAAGACCTACCCCGAAAATAAGACCTAGTGTGTTTTATTGAGCCAAAAAAAATATAAGACAGTGTCTTATTTTTGGGGAAACACGGTACCTACATGTCAAGTATTTATGTTGTACATAACAATCAGTTTAAAGCTACTATTTTGTGAGTGCAGAATAGTGGATAAAACAGCAAATCAGATCACACCTTCTTTTATGCATTTGATGTCCCTGCTCCCCCCCCACCCCTAAAAAAAGCTATTTGTTTCCTATGTTGCTACCAAAAATCCCTCAATGGCTCAAATTTTCTGATGTCCCCATAATCAGATCGTTCTCTATTTTCTATATCTATCATAGCGGCATTAATATAATGTGCGTCTACTATAACTAGAGGCGGTCCCCGGGTTACATACAAGATAGGGACTGTAGGTTTGTTCTTAAGTTGAATTTGTATGCAAGTCGGAACAGGTACATTTTTTAAGTGTAACTCCAACCAAAAAAACAACATTTTTTAGTTTTGGATAGCATAGAGAAGGGTCACGTTTGTTTTGCTGTCTGTTCCCCTTGTTCAGAAGATTATAATATAATAAAAAAAAAACTTTTATTTAAAATGACACCAAAAAAAAGATTTTTTCTATTTTTTATTTTATTTTATAAAACTTTATTTCATTTGTTTGCATTTTTTATTTAACTTTTTTTAATTGTTTTGTCTTTTTAATTTAATTTTTTTAAACTTTTTTGTTTTTACTTTAATGCTGGGAGCAATAGCTAAGAGAATGGGACCGGGGGAAGAGAAGCAGACGGACCGGGGGAAGAGAAGCGGATGGACCGGGGGAAGAGGAGGAACCAGCTGGGACAGCAGCGGAGGTACAGGGGGCAGCAGAGGAATGCAGCGGTCTGTGTCCCCGCCAACACAGGCGCAGGTATTTGAAGGGATACAGGCTGCTGCAGCCACAGTTCTCCTAAATGTACCGGCAGCCGCCGGCGCATGCAGCTATCACTCAGTGTCACCGACTTTACTGCAGTTCATTGTACAAAGTTTTTTTTACAATGAACTGCAGTAAAGTCTGTGACACTGAGTGATAACTGACGACCTCGGTTCGTAAGTACGGGTTGTCCGTAAGTCGGGGACTGCCTGTATATAAAACAAAAGCTTAACTTTAATTCCCTTTATATTGAAATGTCTGCAAAGTGTTGCATATCATCAGCAATATAAATGGGGAAAAATAAACATGAAGGTCAGACTTAGTGGTGTACAGTGACAGTAGAATGTATAGCAGCCCAAATTCCTATTTGCTGACACCATTTGAATAATATCTATAACAATCATTTTGAATTCAGAAAGATAATCTGACCACAAACAGTATTTGGATTCATTTGTTTATCCGCTTGTATTAGTTACAACAAAATATATAGTCAATCAGGAATCTTTAAAGTGGAACTTCAGCCCAAACTTGTCTTCTAGCTTTGGATAGCGTGGAGAAGGATTAGAACCTCATCCTGCTTGATTACTGACCTTTTCCTTTTCACAGAATTTCACCAACACCTTCGGTCATAGACCATTGTCACCAGGACAAATTGAAAGAAAAAACTAAAACTTGCTCTGGTAACTGTGTCAGAGATGGGGCTTCCCCTCACTCATTTCCTGTTCTATCTCTGGTGCAGCAAATGTGGGGAATCTCCTCAATGGGACACAGACAGCAATACAAACGTGGAAGAAGTTCTAAGCCTTCCTGACTCCATCTAACACTAGAACAAATGTTTTGGTTGAAGTTCCACTTTATATTTAAACCAATTTCAATACAACTTATTAAAATCTTACTTTATAAAAGTTCACTTACTGGAAATTTACTTTGTCTACTTGAAATCGCGTTTCAAAAATCCCTGATGTCAAAACTCTGCATCTTAATAAGTCCTGTAAATATTAAAATTGGTCACAGACAAGTCTTTAAAAGCACAAAATATTACAGAATTATATAATAATAAATTATTATTGTATCCGTGCCTCTAAGCAGTCCTTTCCCTGGACGGGGCAGAGTCACGATTCCCAAATTCCTCAGCGGTGCAGGGCTTGGTATAAACAGGAACTGGAGAAAATAATGGGATTTTTGTGCTCACCCTAAAATACTTTTCTCAGATTCTATTGAGGGCACAGCTTTATAAAGAAACCAAGGGTTATACTGTCACCTACAGGAGAAATGGACACTAGGCACAGAGAAAACTGAGCGCCAGCCCCCTTCAGGCTATAATCTCTCCAACCTCATACCTGTTCAGTTGTAGCAAGCAATGCAAAGGTGAAAAGAGATATGTCCCTTAATGAGCTCCATAAAAAGGATTTTACAGCGAATTCCTCTATCGCCAGTATTCCACCCTGTATATTAGAACCTTGCCAATTGCTGGTACATGAAACTCGGCCCATGAAAGGATAGACATTATTTTAGACCACAAATTGAACCCAGATTGGATGAATGGTCAGAAAGGGGGAGGTGGGGTCCATTGAATCTTTCTGAATACTTTCAGCTTTGAGGCAAGGCTGAAGGGATGAGCCACAAATTGACAGTGGTTGTCTTCCACAGGAAAGAGCACAAATCATTGGTGACTAGGGATGAGCTTAACTTTGGATCGAACCCAAGCTCATCCAAACCCAGAAATTAGGTATCAGTGCATGCCCAATCAACTGGGGTATTCCCCATCCCGCAGCCAAATGCAAACTAAGTGGCAGGATGCTGGTGACATCATTGATCTTATATGGCCACATTAGGTCAACGTCCTGCAGGTGGGCATACAAAAACCCCAGAAGGGGCTGTGCTGCTGTTGCAGCATCTGAATCATAGAGAGGAATCTATGTGATGCATTTGTAAGGATCTGAATCACCAGTAGTTACAAATAGATGGAAAAAGCAAAGATGTTGCATGCTTCCCTGTGTGTGCTTGAACCTCTACAATGCTACGTCACCATCAGGTGCTGAGCCATCCTAAGGAAAAGGCAGACAAGTTAAAATTGCAGCACAGTCAAACAGTTCCCACTTGTGGGCATCAAAGAAAGTACAGCCCAAGATAGAAAGATAAGGGCTCCTCCATATGGCCAGCGTGCTAATTACATGAAATAGAAGGCAAGTCAGTAGTATAAGGAGACTTTAACCCCTCACAAATGACCAGTCAGCAGCAAATATCACACAAGTATCTCAGTAGTTACAGTATCTCAGTAGTTACATGATTGAGGTTTCATTGATGGGGACAGGAACCCTGCCGCAGCTCTGGGCTGGATAACTCCAGAACACCATATACATATTGGCCTGACCTGAAAGTGGAGTTCTGTGTTAACTAGACCCCGAAGTGTTAGGAGAGAACATAAAATAATAAATAAACTGGGAAAATTAACCCTTCTTGGCTGACTGGAGGAAATTCCAATTCCAAGAATAGCCAACTGCACACACTTGCATAGTGAAATCTTCAAAGATGGGGGTCAAGTGAACTGCCACATTTCTGGTCCCACCACTCAACAAGAAATCCCCAGATAACTGTCCTGACCTGAATAGTGGAGTCCTGTGCCTTTGGAACACAATGTCACCCAACTGCAAGCGTTTTGCAGAGAGAACACCAGTATACTAACTGGGAAATTCTGCACTTGATGGCTAACTGGGGAGAATTCCAGGATTTTCAATATCTACCAGTAGCAGTTGATAGTAGAACTTAAGTGAAAAATACAGCAGAGAGGAAGGAGACATCTATTCTTCTGAGGACACATAGCCTTAAAGTGCTTTTATTTTTCTCTGTGCCTACTATCCATTACTCCTGTTAGCGGCAGTATAGTCTTTGGGTGCTTAATAAAGCTGTGTCTATCAATGGACGATACAGAAATGAAGTCTGAGTAGTTAGCAGAGGGGAACAAAGCTTTTAAATTGTTCTGAGATAAGATAGTAGTTACGTATTTTATGTTTTGTACCAAAAAAGCAAAACACTACTACTGGGATGCATTAACATACTGTATTCACTCTAAAGACCTTTGTAAATTGTTTGCTTTAAATGGGTTTGCATTTAATACAAGTCTAGGACAATGGAAAAATGTACTTGAAAACAGGTCAAATGCAGATCAGAACGAGGTCAACTGCACCTGCTAATGAATTCTGAATCATCTCAGAAGTATCTCAAACTGATGCCATCAACATAAGCCCTATTGATCCATACATTCAATGATTAAATGTGACGGTGGGCCTTACCTGATCTGTCGGTGTGTAGTCATTTTGTCTGACTTGCTCAATTTTTTCTAGAAAGCTGAAAATAGAAGAAGAACCACAGTCAGTATAAGATGGCATTTTCATTCACTGCAAGCAGATTTTGTAGTATATTACTTGTGATGTCTTCCCAGCCACAGTGGATGACCACTAGATGGCAGAAGACTACTTCAATGCTATGCCATTTCAGCCTCCCTACCCTGCAGCATGTCTAGGCCAACATTACTGGATACTTACATGGAAGGCAGATTCTCATATACAGAGCACTAAACTCTGTGGGAAGACGGACACTGTGCACAAGGATAAAGAAGCGATGGGGACATGGTAATCTACACAAACATATCACTCTTGGCACATTTTACTTTGTGATAGTAAACCATGTCAGGCTTATCATCACACTAAACAATAGATTCAGTTAGTTCTCAACAAATATGTAAGCTCATACTTTGCATATATGTTGAGTAAATTCAATAGTGAACCACACAGGGCCATTGTTAAATACTGATCTTTGTACATTGGTGTCTTCTAATGATTGGCTTCATATATTAAAGCAAGAATCTGGCCGCAGTCCACGCTGAATCAGTTAATTAAAAATGTGTCAGTGACACAGGGTGCTGCCTAAGGTCCGCCCCCTCTGACATGTTTCACCTAATCCTGAGATCTCTAGGACTAAGCTCAGGATTGGGTGAATCATGTCAGAGGGGGTGGACATTTAATAAACTGATTCAGCGTGGACGGCGTGCAGCCGGATTCTTCCTTTACTATATGCCTGTTTGTTTGGTGGGAGCACACACTCCTGCCGGCGAGCAGTATTTACCTTAAACCCGAACAGAAATCTCACACCTTTTTTTTTATCTCTTCATAGTTGTGTACCCTGGCACGTTATGATTTGTGACTAATATTTGCCTATTATCTGCTGCACAAGGGCGGTAACAGGAAAATGAACTAAGAAAGTCAGGGGTTGTTAGTACAATGTCTATCTGACTGCATATCTATTTCTGTAAATTCAGCCCTGTCATTTTTGGAACGTTTTTTGAAAATTGTGATGTGACTTTTACATTTGTAAATGCTTGCTCTTCCACATAACGATTTGGAGATTAACCACTAGAGGGAGTTCTGTTTTTTGACAGCGTAAATCAACCTATACATGTAAAGCATGGGTAGCCAAACTGTACCCCTCCAGCTGTAGTGAATCTACAAATCCCATGAGGCACTTGTGGGACTTGTAGTTCCACAACAGCTGAAGTTTGGCTACCCCTGGTTTAATGGAACCCTGTATTAAAGACATACGGAGGTTGCAGTTGTGAAGTCTCATTCTGAAAATGCTGATCTAGTGTCTTCAGTAGTATTGGAGTCACTGGCCCACCACAAGTAGTAAGATTGTGAGTTTTGACTTCTCTCTGGTTCTTGCATGCTTGTTCCAGGTCAGGGACTCAAAGTAATAAAGCCAGAGACTGAGCATAGTCAAAGGTCAGCAATAGCCAGTACAATTAGGTATAACACACCACTGTTCAGAAAAGATCTTAGCCATACAGAGGGTGGATATGCTTTGTTTGTTGGGTGGCTCATGGGCCTTCATAATGAGGAGCGGCAAAGCACAACCATTGTGTAGCACTGCAAAACAGGAAGCAGACAGCAAGTAGGCATAAAGCATATATGGCTGTCTTCATGTTCATATATAATTGCAAATTACACATAAAACAAAGTTCTTCAAAATATTAGAAATAACAGTGATACAATTACGAATACACTTTAATATAAAAGTAGAAATCTACAACACCACTACACGGCCCCTTTAAATGAGTCTTGCTCAGACCACTGAAAACAATTGTTGGGGTTCTAATTCAGCAGCTGAGGAACCACCAGACATATATTTGTACATTAAGAGCACTAGAATAACCGTTCTGAAAATTCCTACAGAATGTAAACAAGCCATTTCTACAGTTAAGTGTTCGCAGAGTCCATTTTTTCTCATTCACCGGTCAAAACAAGTAAGATTCCAAATCTACCTGAAGTGACAAAACTCTACACCTCAAAGATTTATGTGGGAAACTGTTAAATCTGGTTTGGATTCATACACATGTGTCACGGTATCCAAATATTGACACAAAAAAACTTTAAACAGTGGAATAGCAGTAACAGTGACATAACCGGAGGAAACGGAAACAGTGAAGGGGGCTCATTAATTATATCAACTCTGAGAACTGTCGTTGTTCTCCATAATTTACTGCCGTCTTCCTGGCCTCATGTTAAATATTATAAGACACGCTGGTATCTACCTGACAGGGGGGCTGTGTCAATTAATACCATATTCTATTTTTCTAAGTCCTGAAAAATCCTCAGGAATACAACGATTATCTGCTTCTATTTCCTGTAAAGTTAAAACAAAATGATTTGTATTTTTTAAGTCTGTTACAAAGATATAGTAGATCCTAGGAGCCTATCTTGTCTCAATAGATTGCATACCTAAACTGGCAGAACCTGCCAGGCCCATGTTGTCAGGACAATGGACCGACTGTCAGATTGCTCTACTGCCAGGAGGACTTGCTGTTAAACATAACAAACCATGGCCCAGAAAATAGACTAAAAATTCAGCCATCCAAGCCATGCTACACCAGACTGCACCCCAAATGTGTGCATGTGAACAGAGCCTTTTATCAAGGGTCAGAACCTCCTGCCAAGCACCTCCTTTTGCCATCTGGGTGAATCCAGCCTTAAACATATCCTCTAAGTTGCAATTTTTAAAAGATGGGCAAGAAAGAAATAGTGAACTCTTTATTATTGTTTCTACTTTCAATACATTTAAAACATAAAAAAAAAACCCCTGCAGTATTCCCACCACCCATTAAACATGTACAGAACTGTCACACCCATCCACTTGATCACTTGGGCTGATTGGTCCAAAGAGGCAGGCAACACTATCTTTACCATATGTATTGACTGTCATTAGTCCTGAAAGGGCTGCACAGTCTGATTGGGCACAGATTTGTAGGAGAGGCAACGGTGAGACGACAATATGGATACCCCCATACCTCCCGATAATCACTTTAGGAACAAATTTGCACAAAAGCCAGCATCAATTTCCCCCACACATGTAAACAACTCCATAAATTATGCCACGTGGCATGGACGTACTGAATTGCTGGTATTTATATCATTGTCGTTAAGCTGGATATGGGTTAATCTAGCATGACAAACCCTCACTCTGTGACCCCAAAATGCAGACCTTCTCATGAGTCCTAATCATATCTCAAGGTAGGCTCGTGGTGTTTTGCTGGTCTGGTTACATTGACATGTTTTGTAAGCGTCATGCAAGCTTCCTCAGGATTCCCTAATCTAGAAACTAAATATTTACCACTTAACTAAATGTTAACCTTTAAAATAAGAACCCCAACCTACAACTGAAAATAAAGCTTCATTCCAACACTACGCCTATCCCAACCCCCATCAGATAACTTTATTCCTCCCTATATATTATCAACCATCTTTCAATCTTCAGGAAGTCTGACCACTGCAAGCTTTGCTATTGTGTGCAGCTTAGCAGTGCTTTAGATATATTGCTAGTTTGTGGGATTCTCTCCATTTGTCTATGCATATATACCTATACAGTTAGGTCCAGGAATAATTAGACACTGACAGAATTTTCATAATTCTGGCTCTGTATGCCACCACAGTAGATTTGAAACGAAACAACCGAGATGCAATTATAGTGCAGACTTTCATCTTTAATTCAAGGGGTTAAACAAAAATATCATATGAAACGTTTTGGAATCGCAACCGGTTTCATACACAGTCCCCTTATTTTAGGGGCTCAAATGTACTTGGACAAATTAGGACAATCATGAAAAAAAATGTCATTTATAATACTTTGCCAAAATCCTTTTCAGGCAATGGACTTTATGAAGTCTGGAATGCATGGACATCACCCAATGCTGGGTTTCCTCCTTTGTGATGCTTTGCCAGGCCTTTGCTGCAGCTGTTTTGTCTTCCACAAGTGAAATGCATGCTGGATCGGGTTAAGATCAGGTTATTGACTCGGCCATTGCAAAATATTCCACTTGTTTGCCTTAGAAAACCCCAATAAAACCCCTCCAGGGTTGCTTTCACAGTATGTTTCATTGTCCATCTGTAAAGTGAAGCGCTGTCCAATCACTGAATTTATCTGAGCAGACGATATATTCCTATACACTTCAGAATTCATCTGACTGCTTCTGTCTTCTGTTACATCATCAATAAACACTAGTGACCCAGTGGTGTTGGAAGCCATGCATGCCCATGCCATCACACTGCCTCCACTGTATTTTACAGATGATGTGGTATGCTTCGGATCATGAGCCCTTCCAAGTCTTCTCCATACGTTTTTCTTTCCATCATTCTGGTACAGGTTGAAAAAAAAGCTGTTCCAGAACTGGTCTGGCTTTTTTTTTTTAGTTATTTTTTGACAAAGTCTAATCTGGCCTTTCTATTCTTGAGGTTTATTAATGGTTTGCCTTGTTGTGAACTCTCTGTATTTGCTCTGGTGAAGTCTTCTCTTTATGGGAGACTTGTATAATGATATGCCTACCTCCTGGAGAGAGTGTTTTTCACTTGGCTGGATGTTGTGAAGGGTTTTTCTTTACCAAGGAAAGGATCCTATGATCATCCGTGGATGTCCAGGCCTTTTTGCATTGAAGAGCTCACCAGTGCATTCTATTTTTCTCAGAATTAACCAACCTGTTGATTTGGCTGCTCCTAATGTTCCTGCTATCTCTCTGATATAATTATTTTTTTCTCCTTGCAGCCAAAGGGTGGCCTGTTTCACTTGCACTGGGAGCTCCTCTGACGCATGTTGTGGGTACACAGCAACAGCTTCCTAATGCAAATGCCATACCTGGAATCACCTCCAAACTTTTTACCTGCTTAATTGATGATAAAATAACAAAGGAATAGCCCACACCTGTCCATGAAATAGCTTTTGAGTCAATTGTCCAACCATTTTTGGTCCCCTGAAAAAGACATATTGAAGAGCTATAATTCCTAAACCCTTCCGTCAATATGGAT